TAATATATTTAGGTGTATGCGGTTACCGGAGCAGAAATGAAGCGTGAGAAAATTCTCATTTGACGGCGTACAAATTATTATTCCTTTTTCAGTCGATTACTGCAGTTGAAAAACTCTATTATATTACATTATAGAAACTGTATATCGATTTTCCACCGAAATAATATGATTAGGGGGGTGTTCATGTACTACTGGGACTTTTGGGCTCACCGGCTACAGACGTATTTATTTTCGTACCCATTTTAATATAATATACTACGACTACTGTGCACACACGCATATTGTATTCGCGGGGAACCTATACCTAGGTATATACCATACACGCGCCGACACTCGATCCCGCATTATCAGCGTCCATTAGGTAATTGCGCGAGCCGCCGGTCGGAAGGAAGACGTTTACGGGAAATTACACGAACACCAGTATAAGCACAGTACCTACGCGTCGTATACCCTTGTAAGTAAGTAAGTTCGTATAATCGCTGGTCGTTCGACCGATATTCCTCGCGTGCCCCGTAATGATGTCGTTTGGACGGATATAAAAACGCATTTCAAACGCACACTTTTTTTTTGTCTTCCACCGCCACCTTTGGGACGCGATCCAATCGGCCAGCTCGATAAAGAGCCTCATCGTCCTCCGACCTATTGCGTATATTATTATTATTGCCATCATCATCATCATCGTCGTCGTCGTCGTCATTATTATCACTGTGCCGTACGAGTTTAAATCCGTTTAACGCGGAATGCCGCCAGTATAATAAAATATACTGACTAGGTATATTATTATTATGATCCAGCGGTGATATGACCTAGTTCTGATCCTGTATTTTATTATTATAATAATATTAATCGATTATAATATTATTGTCGATCCGGTAATACGTCCCGCCGTGCATAATATTATGCTCGGATCGCAACCAGACCATTATCATAATGTTTTTAAAAATAAATAATATTTTGTACCAGACGATTGTACAAGAACTATACAATATCACCACCCCAAAAAATGATCTCATTATAAAATGCGTGTCGACTGTCGAGTTGACTTCAGAATGTGTCTATGATGCTAACAAATATATTATTATGGTCGAAAATCGATAAGACATATCACGATGTTGCAAATATAATAGAACAATATAATATCGGCTAATCGCCCTTTTTCAACATTCCGAACAAAACACACTGGAACACTCCGCCCAAGTGTTTTCAAACAGTGCACTATTATTCTCAATAATACGATTTATCTAAGCTTATACTCAGTTTCATGAGGGCCAAAACGAAATTCAAAAGAAATAAGTCGTATCGTATAAAACGATGAAATCCCGGATACCCATGTGTTTCAGTACAGATGTCAGATACATATTCAATTTAGAACTGTATCTATCGCTCAAAAGCGCCAAAAACGTGCAATCGACAAAGTTATCGCCCAATGACGAAAGCGTTTTTGAGATTATTAGCAGCGTTATGCCGTTATGTTACACCGACCATTTGTTTCTACGTAATGTAAACCGAAACGAGGAAGAATTTTACAAAATCATAAAATACAAAATATAATAACATGTCGGTAATCAATAAATGCGTTTCGAACATACATTTTTTGTTTAACGAACAAAAATATGGACTTCTACAAGAAATAGCAATAGTGGCAATATAATGTTATGTCAATCCGAGGTACAAAAAATAAAAATAATGTGTTCTGCTAGAATAGAAGTGAATAATCCCAATAATCCCATGACCATATAATAACTCGTGATTGAGGTGATGTAAAAATAGTGGTATTTAATAAATTGTTTGTATCATATGTCATGTATTAAAATATTATATTACACATGTATTATACTTTAGTACAATTACCTTTTGTACTACACCATATTACGGTATTATGTAATATATTATACACATTTTATACAGTACCGTTTTATTATGTAAGATCTAAAATTCGAAATTTATTTATTTTAAAAATTATGCAAATTCGGTACATAACCATTGCTCGTGCAGTCGTGCAAATGGAAATCCATTAATGTTTAACAATGATTAAAATAAAAGAAGACCGAGAGTTTAATGTGTTCAGTAAATATTTAGATAATATGTAGGTGTAGTAACGTCAAATCAACAAGAAATTAGAAAATGTACAGCCAGAGTTAATTTACTAAATTAAAAATAAATGTTTATAAACCAATATTACTCTAATGTGATCTAATGAATAACAACTTTAACGAACATTTTTGCTTAAGGCGCCCGGTGCCGATGCCATTTTGTTCTCAAAAATACACTCTGCGGGAATAACGATACCGCCTTGTCGAATCAACCAAATTTCATAATTTTTTTTTAGTTGCTAAAGGGAAATATTCTACACCCCGCATCGATCTCTGTTTTTCAATATTTTATTCTCAAACTTTATAATATGTCTAAAATAATATAAGATATAAAGCATATTTTTACAAATTTTTAATACAATTATTTGAAATAAAATACAAAATCAGAGATCGATGCTGGCTGTAGGATATAAAATTATATATTGTGTCAATTTTAAACACATAACAAATTTAGTACATTCATAAATTAATTAATAAATAACAAATCATTTATAATATGCCAATCATATAATATTTATATATTCACACAATAAATAATAATAATATATTTTTTTGTCATAACAGATTATAAATCACATTGTGAACCATGAATCATAATACTTATGATTTTTATATACTATAATTTATAAATATGGACAAAAATATTATACCGTTGTGTAATTTAATATTCTATACTGAATGTATATAATATATTATATAGTATATAGTATAAATATATATACATTTATTATATAGTATTACCATTTCGTGTTATTCAAATGCATATCACTATAGTGATGAGCATATTTTACTCGATTTGGTAAACCGTCGTTTTGCTTAAGTCGTATTATTTTTTGTATATATAGGTATAATCGATGTAAACTACGACTGCAGCAGATATCACTGACAGACAATCGTTCAGTACTGAGTTATGAGCTGCTGAAAATACCACAATGGTTTAGGATGATATTGAAAAAATTTATTTAAATTTCAATCAAATAGAGTTTCTCGTACATTATTTCCGGAAACGCCGTGATCATTATAGACAGCTATTAATCAAGTTAGCAATCTAACTATTTTAATATTTTAACAGATGTAGACACGTAACTTTTTGTCGCGTAGATGCAAAGAGTAAAATAATTTATCTAACCACTGAATCTAATATTATAGCTTGCCAGTTTCCGGTGGTACATTTCACGTATGCCGCAAAAAATATTACGTTCACTTTTTTATCAAGTTCTATAACCACATTAGTTATTGTTTGAAAAATAAAAACCGAACTAAGTATGTCAGACGCACGCCGATCGATAGCGATCGAGAAAGAAACTAGTAATGAAAACAAAAACCTCAGTTTTTATCTGAATGTAGAAATCAAAATACCTACACCAAATATAATTTAATTTAATTCTTTATTCACTTTTACATCTAGTTGTCCATAACTTTTATCAAAGTCATTAATTATTCAAATATTTTAAAATAAAAAAAGTTAAAAAAATTTCATAATATAATTAAGTGTTCGACCAGTCACTATACTACTATATCTAAATACAAATTGTCAGACATGCGTATATTACATAATATCAATATTAAAATAGATCAATACATTAGATTCTCATCATGTTGAACGTCAATATTTGGAATTTTTTGTTATCTTGAAATAAAATGAAATCCCTTGATTGCACTACTTTGCACTAAAATACCAATACAATGAAACTCAATATCTTGAATTTTTTGATATATCTAAGTGATCGCTTCTCTTCAGGTCAACATAACAAAAGTTCACATGGTTTTTCATAAGTAGAAGCGTTTAATTATTTTAGGGATGAAAAGACTATACACGATTATTTTCTTATTTACCAAGACATTTAATCATCATTTTTTTGTCCACAGATCTGTGACCTCGAGGTGATATGTAATATTACATAGGTTAATGATAGATTTTTTTCTTAAGCCACATACGGTGTTTATTGATTCTTAGTTTCCTACGGCAAACAGTTCTTTAAACGGAAACTTTATGTTTCTATTATTTAATTTTTGGCATCGTCTAGGTGCGGTGTGGTACTTTACTCAAAAACGCTAATGATGTCGAAAACTTGAAAAATCACCGAACGTTTTACACGGTGTACGATTTCGCAAAAGTAACTTTTTAAATTATTTATCCAACCTTATTTACAATATTCCTACCATAAACCGTACACGACATTTAAATGTCACATGTAGGTATACAACTTACACACGTGTGACCGACTAACAATCGCAGCGTCATATATTGTACGTCGGAATGGAAATGTAATTATTCAAATGTGAATTTACATAATATTTTGTGTTGCCAATAGTTTTACATTAATTTACAGTAAAATAAAAATATGAATAAAAAAGAATTCGGTCACCGGTATAATAATAATATTATTGTGTAAAAAAAAATCCGCAATCGTCGGTGTCTATATTAATATAGTAAATATGTTCTGTGCATTTAGACTTTCGAATAAACCTCGCCGACACTGTGTCAAAGTCCAAATTATAACTAGTCTGTATATACGTATATGACGTGCGAGTTATTATAAAACTATTCAATGGTTTACCTATATAGTTGAATTACGTGATCCGAGGACGACGACAACCATGTGATGCGATAATAATATTCCAGATTTTGTCATTCGCGACGAGCAACTCGTCTATATATTTATACCTCCACACTCATAGTATTACTATATAGTGGCTCGCAGCTATGTAATATATAGGTAATATCATTATATATATTAAGTGACACAATAATAAACCAGTACGGGTTCACCTGACTCGATACATCACTCCAAACGACGAGGTGGGGAGGGTGGTACGCTTATCTGGAGACTTGTATATATAGTTCCCCAACCGTGTCCAACAATCATCATTCATCGAGATCGCTTCCAACAATCAACACTCAACATGAAATTCGTAAGTACAACGCTAAACATCTGTGATGGCTAGTCTAACAGTTAACTAATAATAATATTCTCAAACAATTTGAAGTGTAATTTTAAACGTTTGCGACTTGTTTACAGGCAACAGTTCTAGTCACTTTGGCGGTCGTAGCCCTCGTCCGGGCCGACGCGTCCAGCGCCGACAAGAAGACAACGAAACACGAAAAGAGGAGCTTGGGCGGTTACGGCTCTGGATTAGGACTTTCCGGTCTCGGCTACAGCTCTGGACTCAGCTACGGCTCTGGTCTCGGCTACAGCTCTGGTCTCAGCCACGGCTCCAGTCTCGGCTACAGCTCCGGTCTTGGCTACGGATCCGGTCTCGGCTATGGATCCGGTCTGGGCTACAGCTCCGGTTTGAAATACGGTTCCGGGCTGGGCTATAGCTCAGGTCTTGGATACGGTTCCGGTCTGAGCTCCGGCTACGGTCTGGGATACGGTTCCGGTCTTGGCTACGGTTCTGGTCTAGGATACTCCGCTGCCGCTCCCGCACCAACAACTGGCCCCATTGTTCCAATCTCCAAGGAAGTGCACATCATCAACCGACATGCCCAACCGGTGTCCGCCCCATACCCAGTGCCAGTAACTCATGACGTACCTGTACCTGTGCCACATGCAGTGCCCTACCCGGTCGACAAACCATACCCAGTCCATGTGCCAGCCCCATATCCAGTTCCAGTCGAAAGGCCCGTCCCGTACGCAGTCGACAGACCTATTCCCCATCCAGTGCCATCACCTTACCCAGTCCCAGTTGTCCGTGACGTGCCAGTTCCAGTGTCCAAGCCGTACGCAGTTCCAGTAGTCAAACAAATCCCCGTTCCAGTGGCCACTCCAGTCATCGTGCCAGCCGTGCACCACTCTGCACCATTGATCTCTTCCAGCTACAGCGCCGGACTTGAATCGTCTGCAATTGGTTACGGTTCTGGTTACGGTTCCAGTTACGGTTCCAGCTACGGTTCCAGCTACGGTTCCGGTTACGGACTTGGATCTTCCGCCATCGGTTACGGTGCTTCTTCATACGGTTCCGGTAGCCTGTACAGCGGATCTTTGGGATACAGCAGTGGAGGTCTGTCTTCATATGGACACGGAGCCCACAGTTTCGATTACAAGAAATAAAACACTCGAATGATCAATCTTGCCTATCTTGCAGCACTACACTGCATTGACGAAGATTATACTTAGGATTTATATTGTACCGTGTATATTGTGTATACACATATTATGTTCTTAGACAATTATTACAATTTTGTTTATATGTATTTTTAAATTTGTTAATAACCGATAGTTATTGACTGAAATTAAATAATAAATGTTTTTATTATATTATATACTTGTTTGTATTTTCAAAATATAATTTTTATTCCTAATACTCCTTGGGACTATTTGATAATATATACATCATATATAATATATTCACTCATCTTGTTCCAGGAAAGTACATACAATTATGTATTCAAAATACATAGCCTCTACACAAATCTTAACATTTATAAAATTAAAAACATTGTGTTTCATTTATCAATGAATGTTCGAGATTTATTCGATGAATGATTAATCACAGTAATTATAATAGCTTAACAAAACATACTATTTTAATATTATGATACTAAAAACTGTATTTTGCATATTAAAGAAATTAAATTAAACATGAACTCAGGGTATAAAATTTAAAAAAAAGCTTCATCAATATTGTCGAATCTTAAGATTGTAATAATCTGATCATATATTGTACGAGTTTTATGATAATTATGTATTTTATTTTAATATATACGTGGCCAAATTGTATCCTACTAATATTATAAGCGCAAAAGTTTGTATGTTTGTTACTCTTTCACGTAAAAACTACTGAATGGATTTTAATAAAACTTTACAATAATATAGCTTATACATCAGAATAACACATAGGCTACAAATCTAACCCCTAAGTTCAACCAGGCTATGCGCTCAAACGTTGATTTAGAGATTTTTGTTTATAAATGGTCGCCATGGGTTTTAAAGCTATTATAATAATAATTATTGGTTGCCGTGAAATCAGTGTATTCATTCAATGCATTTAATTTTTTTGTACTCTATGTTTTGATATTATATATGTCGCAATTACGTAAATATTGAGCTTATTTTACTCACATATAAGTTACGTACATAAAGCAATGCCACGTCTTCCTGGATGAGGAGGAAATATTGGTCGACAGACTCGGCATTCACAATTAGTCCAGCCGTTTAGGACTAGTTCAATGACATTCTTGGTATAACTTTGATACTTTGTGAGTATATTATACCTCTGGGAAGAAGATAGGTTAATTTACATAGGATTAAATTTGTCTTTTTTTATTCATCGGATTTTAGTACGGTTAGGTTAGGGTATGATTTTGTATAAATTGATTATATTAATCTACCGTAGCTAGAATTAAGTAAGAGCGACAACCTTGGTATAACTTTAATACTTTATAGAGTTAAATCATACATTTAAGTACAAACTTCACGGTATCCGCAATCTATAGCAGGTTAGGTTATGAATTAATTATATCGATGTATCCAGGATATTATTAGGTTATTATTTATTATGTCATGTTAGTTGAATTAATATTATAATATTATTATTTTTATTCGTTTCTATGGTGATGAACAAAGCGTCATAAATTAAATTCGCATTTTTAGCGGTTTTTCGTAATTTGTCGGTGGTTTTTCCCGTCGCGTTATATAACTATTGAGAAAATGGAAAAATTACCTCTTTAAAGTACCATCTTCATCCAATTTTTTTTAAAAATATAAGGTACTATATGTTGAAATCGAAGCAATCCTTCTGGTAAAAATTTTGCATACAGGATATAAACAAAAAAAAAAATTAAACACCATTTTAAAACCAATAGCTTCCTCGCTCGGCTCAGAATTTAAAATTTAAATATGAAATTGCCCGTAAACGGCTCAAAACAAGTCAAAATATTTTGAAAATTTTATCAAGTATAAGAATTGATAAGATAAACATTCACTGAAATTTTCATGTATCTACAATTATTCGTTTTTGAATTACAACAAAATAAGAAAATCACTACATGAGAAATCGAGTGAATATCCAATGTTGTAAAAATTTGAAATTTAAACGCTCTTAAAAATTTAATTTGACTTTCTTATAGATATTTTTTTTTTGACGAAGGTAGATATCTTATAAGGAATCCTGTATTACATTTTAAAATCTTAGATTTAAAAAGAAAAATTTTAATGAATTCTCAACTCAAAATAATTTGCTAATTTTCGTGATTTTTCCATATTTTTCAATTTTTGAACTTTAAATTCTTATAAAAAAAAAACTGTGACTAAGGATTTTAAATATTTTTCAAACGTCATTGTAACAATTCAGTAGGAGCCTTGCGTTAAATTTTCAAGTATTTTTACTCAACAAATAAAGTTTTATTGACATTCATAGAAAAAAAAAACTAATAAAATTGGAAACTGAAAATGTTCCTAAACAGTTTAAAACAAATCAAAATATTTTGAAAATGTTATTGTGTATATAAAATGCAAATATAAACAACCAGTGAAAATTTCAAGTATATACGTTCAATTGTTTTAGAGTTGCACCAAAAACCGAAATTAATTTTGTGGAAAATCGATTTTGAGTAAAAATTCCCGTTTTCCCTAAATGTTTGTGTTGTTTTTCCCGTCTTTGAAAACTATTGGGAATTTTAAAATTTGACCTCCTGAATGCACCAATTAGATTCACTTTCCAATCGAACAAGATACTGTTGAAGATAATCGAAGCAGTTTTACTGTCCCAAACCGTGGTGACACAAAAAAAAATTTTAAAAAATACACACATCATTGTAAAATCAACACATTCATTGTTCCACTCAGAATCTACAAATGTTAACGCTAACACTAAATCGAAAATTATAATATTATTATTGTTGTTCTTATTACAACGATGTTTATAAACAATAATAATGGTTATTATTATTATTATTTTTATTTTTTAGATTATAATTTATGATCTTCAAAAACTGTGTCATTGGATTTTAAATTACAATTATTATTATAATATAATTAAGATAACTGTAAAGTTACAATATATGTACAGTTAAGCCTTATAATATTAAACAGTCGAATACGATGAATAGAATAATAGAATATATATGAGTGCCTAGTACTAACGAATAGAACACCATGTTGGAAATCTGAACTTCTCCTTATCGTATATAGGTTTGGCATTCTGTTTATTTAACTACCGTGAGACGGGGTGAATAGAAACACTTTTGAACTTTAAAATACCATAAAAACTTAATAAAGTTGGCAACGCAAAACTTTTTGTAGTTTGTTATTCATTGAAGAAAATAGGGAGGGACATGTGGGTCTTAGTCTATCCCAACTCGAAAGTTAGTATTTAGTACTTTAGAATAAGTCATTTTTAAAAATATTATGGTGGGGGACTTCTGTCCCACAAACAATTTGGGCTTTCTACGCCAATGGGATTGCTTGAGTCCAGTTCTAAGAATATCGATGGAAATTTTAATTTTTCGGTAGGTCCTGAGTAATAATACCAAATGATAAGTTGTACACTCTTGATTTTATTTGGTTTCTATATTCCAGGAATATAACATTATTATATTAATTTTCGTTTCCATAATTTTACACTGATCAATTCAGTAGATTACAATTAAGTCACTAGTCAATCAGATAAAAATATTTTTTATGTAATATAATTATATGTTTTGTAGGTATTTGGAACAACTCTGTAAAAAAAAAAATTGGAAAAATATTTAATAGTGTCGTCACAAAATCGGAACAATAAAATAAAATCTCCCCTCTCCCACCCTTGTGACAAAAAAAAAATGACGGAGACTAATGACAACGCCAAATAAGTATAACAATTACATCTAAAATAAATTAACTGTAGCTTTTTCTAATTATTGAGCAATGACTTCAAGTAAATGTCTGATAATGTTGATAATTTTACAATAATTAATTCTGTGTTTACAATGTTGTTGGTAAATAGGTACTCTATCGTCATTAACATTTTACCATACTTAATCAACTCTTACAGAGTTATCAGATATTTTCACACTGGTAGGTACTCGGTAAATCTTCTACGACCTCGACAGTGGTTTTTAAGCTTATGGTGAACATGGACACCTAATTGAAGACCTTTGAAAATCGAGGACCTCCTACAAATTTTACGATGAGAGTCGCTGGCGCATTTGCTCGGAAACGCGAAGACGACCTTGGAAGCGGACGGAACCCGACCACGACGGCTGCGAGATCAACGATGACGGTTGGCGAAGATTGGCTAGGGCCCGATGTCGTGCGCTAGACGGTACTGCAGGTTCCAAAGACGATTATGGCGACGGCGAAGACGGTGACCAAAGCTCACCGGAGAGAGCAACAAAGACTATAATAATATTATATGTGTGGTGCGGAACCAGCGTTGTGACTCGGCTGGCACAACGTCTCTGACACCAACATAACCATAGCGTCGACCAACTGGTCGGCGATGGCGACCATTCGTCTATCTTTGTCCATAATGTTATCGGTGTCGGTGTAGTAAAATTCCATGGCTATGACGTCCTAGAACACCGACTGGACGGTCGCCTCGATCGAATCAGACACCACTGCCGAGATAACGTCTTCCATCACCTCCTTGATCATTGTGTCGATGTTTTCGTTTTCTTTTTCGAATTTTGACATGATTCTTGTGAATAAATTATATGTACGTGTGACGTCGAATGATAATTTGTAAGCGAACGAATATTGAGATTTCGTTTTACGCCGTTGTCGAGAAAATCAATATTATTTCCCAGACGACGGGTTTGACGAGCGTAGCAGCGAGTACTCATCGGCCAGCATGATTATATTATTTTGGGCCCGTCTATTTTACTAAAGACCAACAACAGATTTTTTTTCTTAAATCCAAATTTACAAATTAGCTTTTTTGATCTATATAAAGAATAAAAGAAATATCGACGCCGCACGTGTGCCGCTCACAAGTGCGTGATTTACACCGCGGTTGACCGAAACAAACTAGACGAAAAAAAAATCATAATAATACCATATCGTTTTATCGTTAATCATCATCATTATATTGTTATACACTGTATCCGGTAATGCCATTAGTAGATTCTGAG